TAATAAAACACTGTTGGCGCCAGAAAAAATTCTTTTTCTAGTGTGGGCTGTCAATGTGTTAAAGAACGACCGTTATTTACGCAGATGGTAAAGATGAAAACTCACAGTTTAAAATATTTTAAATAAGATGATAGCCAATGGTACCTTGTAAAAACCAGTTTCAAAGACATATGGTAAATTGACAGACTGAAGTTAGGAGGCTTCTGTAGTGGTCAACAGAAAGAGTGCATAATACTTGGACAAAGAGTACCTCCAGGGATGGAGAGAAGTGTGTGAATTTGTGATATATTGAAAAATAGAACTGACTAGACTCGGTGACTGATTGGATATAAAGAGCAAGTTAAAGGAAAGAGTCAAAAATCATGCCTAGGCTTCTGGCTTGTACAACTGAAAGAAGAGTGATGTATTTGAATTATGAATAATGGATAAGGAAGTGGTTTGATAGAGGAGTTTGGTTTGGACACATTTAAAGCGATATACTTGAGATATCCAGATGAAGATTATGAGTAAAAGCTAGAAGTAGATGAGAAATCCAGCTGCAATAGATTTTGAAACACAAATTGAGAAACTATAATCCAAAAATTCCTGAAGATCAAAATATCCACCATATGATGCAGTAGGCTTAGATGGACTAAATAGCAAAATAGAAAACAGATTTTACTTCCTTAGATATTTAATGATATGTTTCTGGAACCCTTGAGAATGCCATGTGAAGAAGACATTTAGCTGAGTATTTAAAGATCTACAAGAAAACTACGTAGAAGAAGAAAGATGACACTAGGCAAAGAATTATGAAGAAACCCCAAGGCAATCACAGTAGCAACACAAAAAATAAATGGACTGATCAAATATAAAAGTTCTGCACAGCCAAAGAAACTGTCAAGAGAGCAACAGACAACCCACCAGGGATGGAAGAAAATTTTGATCCTATGCATCCGATAAGGACTGATAACTAGAATATACTTAGAACTCACGAAATCAGCAAGGAAAATCAAATAACCCTATCAAAAGTGGGCAAAGACTATGAACAGAATTTTTCAAAAGAAGACAAAATAATGGCTAACAAACATGAAAAAATGCTCAACATTTCTAATTATCAAGGAAATGCAATCAAAAACCACAATGAGATATCACTTATCTCCAGTGAGAATGGCCTTTATCAAAAAGTCCCCAAAACAATAAATGTTGCATGGATGCGGAGAGATAGGAACACTCCTACACTGCTGGTGGGACTGGAAACTAGTTCAACCTCTGTGGAAGCATATGGAGATACCTTAAAGCGATACAAGGAGATCTACCATTTGATCCAGCAATTCCACTACTGGGCATCTCCCAAAGATCAAATGACACTCTACAAAAAAACACCTGCATTGAATGTTTATAGCAACACAATTCACACATTGCAGTTTGGAAACAACCCAAGTGCCATCAAACATGAATGATTAATAAAATGTGGTATATGTATACCATGGATACTATTCAGCTTTAAGAAATAATGGTGATATAGCACTCTTGTATTTTCCTGGATACAGCTGGAACCCATTCTACTAAGTGAGTATCTCAAGAAGTAAAAACAAGCACACATGTACATCAGCAAATTGGTATTATGGATAACACCTAAGTGGAAATATAGGAATAACATTTATCGAGTGTCAGGCAGTGGTGAGGGGAGAGGTGGGGATAGGTACTACAAACATAATGAGTCGAGATATGCACCTTTTGGGGGATTGTCACGCTTGAAGCTCTGACTCGAGGGGAGGGGGACATGGCAATATACATAACCTTAACATTGTACCCCGTAATATGCTGAAAAAAAAAGAAGTATTTAGAAGACAGAAGAAATTGGTAAGTGAATATGGGAAGTGAGGAGTAGGTATGAGTTAAGGGAACACTCAAGTTTCTAGCCCAGGGGTGCTAGCTGTACAAGATGGATTATTCAGGAAAAGGAGTAAGGCATAATGATTATCAGGACAGTTACATATATCAGTTTTAATTTAAAGGCAGTCTGGGACTACAGAAGAGACTTAGAAACAGTTTGGGCCTTGTCTCCTTATTACCACAATGTTGCCTGTCTTATGAAACCCTTTTAATAAAAGTAGAATAAAGTGAAAATGTTCTAAATGAAAATATTCAATTATAATATTACAACATTTATGCAGCCTTGTCACCAATATACATCATTAAAATATAAAATAAAATGTCATTTCCTGACATTAAGGGCTTATAATTATAATAATAATAATTATTATTGAATAAAGTTTCCATTACCTTCCCATATTCACTAGAGCTGCTCTTTGTATATTGGGCACCCAGCCTGCCCAAAGCCACGTATTCCTCCTTCAGCCAAGATTTTTGCAAATGCATGATGCACGCCACGAAATCTAAGGAAAATAACAATAAACATGAAAACTCTATGTATTCCTGTGTACAGAATGAAATTAATCGGATAATGTCACCTATAACTGTTATAATTTCGAGTAAAATAACATCTTATTTATCCAGAATTATTAGAAATTATAGCAATCCATGTAAGTCTAATCTCCAGATAAATTTAATAATCCTTTAGAAAAGAGGCAACATTTGATTAAACATTTTTAATGAAATTTTTATAAATTATCATCCTATTCTTATCTTTCCAGATTATTAAACAGATTAAAATGTTTCTTGGTATTTTATATCATCAATGCCCATATTAATTAGAGGAGCAAACAGTAGTCTGATAACTCAAAGGAGTTATCAGGATTAATTATCAGTTATCAGGATTAGTTACCTGGATTAATTCTACCAGTGATACAGGGGGACCTGCAAATTTTTTAATTTTACCAAATAACAACATTATAAAACCACTGACTCTCACATAATCTCATAAATGAAATGATATTTTTAGACTAAATAGTATGAAGGACAATCTTATGAGTTCTTAAAATTAAATAATTTTAGCTTTATGAAAATTTACCTCACTATCCTTATTTTGCTTATTTTTCTGTAGACAGATGAAGAATGGTCCTAAAGCATGAACCTACTATGGAAACCTCTAGCATAAAAATCTGGCTGTATATAGTCAGAAAAACCTGGACTCAAATGCTACCTTTACCACTCACTAACTAGGCTTTTACTCAGGCATTACACTCTCTGAATCTCACCAGAAAGATAATATGACAAATTAATTGCATATGCATAACTGCTGTTATGCTACATGGGAAGTTATAATCATGAATGATGATCACCATAGCTAAAATTTATTGAGCACTTATTAAGTGCCAGACATTTCATATATAGAAGATATATTTCAATCCTGAAAACTCTATGAGATATCTATAATATTATTTTTTCAGTTCATATTTGGGGAAACTGAGGCTTATAATTGTTAAGGAACATGACCATGATTACAAAGCTAAAATATGATAAAGGCTGGCTTTGAATTCCAGGCAGTCTGATCTCAAGGTTTATGTTCTTTAATATAACTTTAAGTACAGGCAAACCAGAAATTTCTAATATTAGGAACAAAAATAAGAAAAAAAGAAAAAACCACTGGGTGATCAGTTAAAAAGTTGGATATTTCTGGATCCCAATAACCTGTTTTCTCCTTCTATCCAATCAAAGCAGCATCGCTTATCCCTGCTACTACGGATGTTAAAAGATGACAAAATGGGCCCTGGGATTCTGCAAACTACTTGGTTAGGTCAGAGTGCTGTGCATGAAGGGAAGCCCAGGCTGCAGCAGCCCAACCTTATTTTCCACTCAGTTAGCTAGAGGAGGAGGGGAGTGGAGAGCAGTGGTCAGTGGTGAACTCCCAGATGGCCCCAAACCCTTTGCTTCTGGCTCCTCTGCACACCTGTAGCATTCAGAGGAGTGTTCAGATCTCTTTGTACCCAGCTCTAGTGATCCTGTACTTTCCCTCTTTCCTAGGAAGGATTTATCAATCTGCAAGATTTTTCTGCTTGGAAATGGGCCAAAAGTAGTATTTCAGTAAATTGTTGAACATGAAATCCTTTCAGGAAAGGCAAACTTCAATAATATAGAGTAATGGAACAGGAGTATCTTGTATTGCAAAGGCATAATAAAAAATCTCTCACATACGAGGGAAAATGAAGACCTCAAGATTTGGAGAAATTGGGATTCAATAAGGAAGTGGGAAAAATATGCAAGGTTAACTTTGCTACTTTCCTTTTTTCCTGGAGAAAGGGAAAGAAAGCAAGGTTTCTGGCATCGATGAGCCAGGCATGTTAACCGTCATGAAAACCTTTTGAGAAAGCCTCTTTTAAACATGAAAACACAGAGACCAGAAATGTTAAGTGACTTCAACAACACCAAGCCACAAAAGCAAACCTGGGATTCACAACAGGGAAAATTTTAATGATCCAACTCTTTACATTAACCTACAGTAGGGGACAAGTCTAGCTGCCTTAGCTGGGAACAGCAGAAAAGAACTATTGGCACATATAATTTGTCTAGTAGAAAACGTGTACACTTCATCATGCAAAGAAAAGATCCAGGCTGGGCACGGTGGCTCACACCTGTAATCCTAGCACTCTGGGAGGCTGAGGCGGGAGGATTGTTTAAGCTCAGGAGTTCAAGACTGGCCTGAGCAAGAGCAAGACCCCGTCTCTACTAAAAATAGAAAGAAATTAGCTGGCCAACTAAAAAAATATAGAAAAAATTAGCCGGGCATGGTGGCACATGTCTGTAGTCCCAGCTACTTGGGAGGCTGAGGCAGGAGGATTGCTTGAGATCAGGAGTTTGAGGTTGCTGTGAGCTATGCTGATGCCACGGCACTCTAGCCCAGGCAATACAGTAAGATTCTGTCTCAAAAAAAAAAAAAAAAAGAAGAAAAAAAGAGATCCAGCTTAGTTCTCCTCCTAATGAATATAACTCCAAAGTTAAAAGAGTCAGAATAAATGTCTTTACTAAATATTATATGATAAATCTATCAGGTAAATGTTCAAAATATGATGGTGGCAAACAGAGAAGGAAAACTGTCAGTTAATTGGAGAACTTACCGCAGTGGTTTTCCTTCAAGTTTCCTTTTTCCTTCCATTTGCATCTGAACCTTCACTAGGTCAGTTGGGTTGGCTAAAAATTGGCCAATAACACCAGCCATCATCCCTCCAATGACTGATTTCCTAATTGTAAAAGAAAATGCTTTTTTTTAAAAGTTGCTATTAATTTAATAAATTTTATAGTGAACCAATACCAAGCTGGTACAGGCCCTAGGTAAGAGACTTAAGACAAAGTGAAGGAAAGGATAGACCCAAATAAGTCACAGAGGAAAGTAGAAATTTGGCTGTTTATTAATGGAAGGGTTAGTGGACCACAAGGAGATAAAAGTCTGGAGTTATGGGCCTTAGATGGCCTGAAATTCAAAGGAAAGGGCAGTTTCTTCAAAGATATAAACATCTGAACTGACAACTTAATTGCAGTTTAATTTTGACCACAGGGGAATAAAAAACAGCATAGATGTAATCAGCCTAACAGACAAAGGCTGAGAAGTCAGATTTTAAAAACTACTACTTTAGTAGTCTTCCCAGCGGAGGGGGCTTGAAAATTTTTCTCTCATTGAAGAAATTCTTTCCATTCCTAGACTCTTTCCATTCCTTGCCCTCTCAAAGCCAATGGTGAGCAAGACTAGGCTTCAACATGCTTTGAATCCATCTGCTTCTCTCCATTCCTGTGGGTCTTGTCTCAGAAAGACCTCCAATCACCTTTAAGCAGATTATTGTAATAGTCTCTTAGGGAAAAGAGGTATTTCCTTTGCCTTTACGACAAAGTAATTTGAAGAGATACAAATGGGTATCACTTCAACAGAAAAAAGGGTCCTTCTGGCCCCTACACCTAGCGTCCCTCTACTAAGCAATGACAATTACTAGTTTCTTCTATGCCTTCCCAGAGGTAATAACAACGGATTCACTGGATGCTCATTATATGTCAGGCACTGTTCTGAGCATTTTAAAAATATCGTTTAATTCTCCTATCAACCCTGTGACATTAGTACTGTCATTCCCTCTTTACAGATGAGGAAACCAAGGCACAGAGCTGTTAAATGACAGGCCAAATGACACAACCAGTGATTGTTACAGCCAAGATGTAAATCCAGATAGTCTGAGGGCAGAGCCCACAGTATTAGGCACTAAGTTATGATTGATAGTTTGTGCAACACAAGCGTATCTATGTAAGTATTCCTTTTTAAATGCACAGATGTAGAATGTCAAGTTGTAGAGTGTTCTTCACTTTGTTTTCCTAACAGTATATCTTAAAGGTTACCTCTGTCAGATCATGTAGAGCTGTCTCATTCATTTGAATATTTTTCATAGCATTTCATTTTATGGATATACCATAATTTATTCAACTAGCATAACTTTAAACTAAGAAATCTGAATATTTACATAACACGTGCTAAATCCTGCCAAATTGCCCTTTATAGGACTTGGAACAACTTGCACTTCCACCAACCTATGAGAATGCCTGTTACTCCACACAATGACAAACATAGTACATTATGAATTTTTTCCCTCTTTGAAAATCTCATAACCACTCTCTCCTCTGTGTTTTTTTTACATGTTTCTAATTGTTTATTCATCTGTCTCTGTTTCTGTAAGTTGATTGCAGGACTATGTCTTTTTCATTACTATAAGCTCAGCATTAAATATAAAACTGGCACACCATAATCTAATCATCTGATAAATACTTATTGACTGATTGAATGCTTCTCACTGGGTCAAAAAGACATCGAACAACCCCAAAAGACATCAAAACAACAAAAAGACATCGAACCAACCCACCCTGAGAGTATATTTCATAGTGTAATATTTCCTTTGAACTCTTTACTTTTTTTCCAGAAGGGAAATTTTTAGAAAAAGGGCTTTTTTCCTGGCTTTTCCCTTCTATTATCTTCTAAAATGCAAGGACTATTAATATTCTATTCCATCATTACCTCTGAGAAAGCAATTAGTATATCTTAGTACATTATAATTTTTCAAAAACAGGATCAAGAGATTTTGCCTGGAAAGTGAAATTCTACTTACTGCCCTTTTCTTATAGTTGTGATTTGGATTTTTTTTTAACCCCAGAAAAGATATGAGGCATCATTCTATGTTAGTCATATAAAATCTAGCTTATTCTTTCAATAGCTGTGTTGTGCTTCCTTGTATAAATATAACTTACTCAACTACTTCCAAATTGATAGTTATTTATTTTTTTTTAGATTTGCTACTGTCAATACTGCTACTACAGTCATTATATTTGTTTATGTGTGTGTGTGCCTTTATGCATAGGTACAAGTATTTCTGAATGATTATAATCTCAAAGAAGGAGCTGAGTCAAAGGATTATACTTTTAAAATTTTTAATAGGTAATTTATGCTACAAAAAGACTATAGTAACATACCTTTCCACTAACAGTTTAAAGTTAGTTTCAGCTAATTCCACTGATTACTGGTGAGGTTGAACATTTTTACGTGGTTAATGAACATTCATATTTCTTCTCTTGTGAATGGCCTATTGATATCCTTTACTTATTTTTCTCCTTATTTTGTGTTCTCTTTATTTTTTACTTATTTAAAGGAACTCTATGTATATTATTTATAGTAACATATTTTTCTGTTTCTGTTATAAATATTATAAGTAATATGCACTTACGTTCATCATCTCATCTAATCCCACAAAAACAAACAGCTGATGATAGGGATTGCCTCTACGCAGATAAAACTAAAGATAAAAAGGTAAAGTAGTTTTGCCAGGTTACACAGTAGTAGAGCAAAAATTTGAGCCCATCTCTGTTTATACACGTATATACACGTATGTCTGTATACAATGTGCAGTAAATGATCAATTATTTAGGGCTTATATTGTTATTATTTATTATTTTAAGCCTGTAACTTAAGGCAATTTTGGTACAAATATATAATCTTACATAAATCTAATGGATAAACATTAAAGCCTTTGGTGCAATAACATATTGTTTTCAAAATAAGACTTACCAAAGAGGATAATGCTTATCTTCACTTTTGCCAAACACAACCTCTCGGAGATGTTCATAAGTGACCATTCGACCTCCAGAGTACACTGGTTAAACAAAAAAAAAAAATCATTAAAAAGGTAGATTGAGCTATATGTTTAATAAAGAAGAGAACATTCTGACCTGGCCTAGTCAATCTCTAGCTGTGGCTTTCTCTCACCAGCCCTGTGATCCTGACACATGGGCTTCCTGATGTTTTTCTAGGTGGCGCATGCTCTTTTCAGTCTCAGGCCTTCCCGTATACTTTCTGATCTTTCTAGAATGGATACACCCTTCTCTGCTTTCCTACTTCCCTCTAGTCTTTCCAGATTCAACTCAAAGAATATGTTTTTCAGAAAGTGCTCTGTGGCATTTTCCTTATCATATTGATTAGAAATTAACTTGTTTTTCTTGCCCATCAGACCATGAACTTCTCTAGGCAGGCTCTGTGTGTGTTTTGTTTTTGTTTTGTTTTTATTACTTCAAATGCCCTACTACATACCTTGGTGCACAGCAGGCATTTTCATTGAATAAACATAGATAACTTTGTTGGAGAATTTATTATATTAATGTGATATTTTCCAGTCAAGTATTAAACATGAATCTTAACTATAAAACAATATAAGGTGGTTAATAAAATACAAATGAAAAGAAGTAAAACTCAAAACAATTATGGGATGCAAAGGAGAAAATATTTAAAAAGAATGGATGACAAAATCGTCAAAATCAGCACATAGTACTCATATAGAGAGCTTTTCTTAATATTTCAAGACAGTAGATGAAATATTTAAGATATTCAAAAAAATGTACAACATGCACAAACAGTAACAGTCTCTGTGCACAATTCTGGATAGTTCTCGATGATGCACTCTACTCATCTGAGGAACTTACTCTTTAAAAATATTACGTCAGTATGTATTAGAACTGGGCACTTTTCTGATCAAAGGTCACTATATGCTTAAGGAAACATTATGAATATAAGGGAGAAAATGTCACAGCTTTCCTACCTCTTTTTGAAGCCAAGTTTATGTTCTCCTGCCCACAAACTAAAAACTCAACAACTCTTATTGTTGTGAGTGCCACTTTGGAAACAGAATAGAAAAGTCTTCTCATGGCATAGTTACTAGTATCTTCCTTTAAGAGTGACTAAAGACCCACATAGCAAGTTAGGCAGGCTGGGGAAGTAAGACAAAAAACACCTATGTTACCTTTGCACTCTTGCCAGAGTGGGATTAGGCAGTGATCCCTGCTCTCTCTCACAGTAGTCTGGTCTCAGATGTTTGAGACAGAGATTCACAAGATTGGGCATTGTAGTAAATATATTTTAATTTTCAAAAAACATGAAAAATTTTAATCCTGTGTCTAAAGTTTCCAAAGTAGAGAAAAATATTATTCGTTTTTTCTTCTTAAACTTTTGTGAAACTTTTTATTAGCGAAAATTTCAAACATATTGAAAAGTAGAGAAAATAATATATAATGTCCTCTAATCTACCATTGAGACCTATCTATTGCTAACATTTTTGCCATATTTGCTTCATTTTTTTTGTGCCTATTTTAATGTATTTTACAGATATGAAGTTTATCCCTAAATACATCAGGATGCATTTCTAAAAATTTAGGACAATCGGTAGTTAATCTTTCTCTTCTTCAGAGGCTATAATGCTCATTTATAATATCAGTAGAGAAAATATCTAGCTGCTTTTTGGACACAGTTAAAACAGAAAAGCAGAGGAGACAAACACAGAACACATAACAAACTTACCAGCTAGAATCAAGATAAATACCTACGTGTCTGTAAATGGCGGGTGTCACTCCTTGCCAAAGCTTTAGAAAGCCTTCCTCTTGAATGATCCCTAGGGCTGTGCGTACCATGCCCCTATAGGGGACAGATTCTCTTGCACTGTCTCCCAAACGAGCAAGAGCAGCTTCTCCTTGCATTTGGAGTCGAGTTTTTGTGAGATCGAGGGGAAAGGTAGCTAACACAAAAACAAACGAAGGGAAAAACCCACAACATTCAGAGAAACAAATAAAAATCCTAAAATCACAGGACCAATATTTTACCCAGATTGGTGGCTTTCAAATTTTAGAATTTATCAGAATCAGCTAGGGAGATGATTTTTTTTTAATTACAGATTTCCTAGCCCCATGCCTGGGGATTCTAATCCAATAAATTGATGAGGATTTAGAATTAGCTGATTCTCACTCACTCCCAAATTTAAGAATCACTGCACAAGAGCAGCCCAGATCACCAAAAAGTGACATGTCTTTTTATTCAAGGGTTCTTTTTATTCAGAAATTTCAGTTTAAAATCTACTTTAGTCCTTAATTTTCACTTTCCAATGGAAAATAATTTGAAGTATCCATATTCTCTGGCATCCCCTTGACTGTAGCCATGATTGTTTAAGATCTGATTGAACTTTAGAATACTATATATTCTTATGTACCACAATATATGCTAGATGAAGCTGAATTCCATAATTTCATGGGTGATGTTCACATGCACATGAATCACTCACTTGATATGTGAGATACAGAAGATGTAATGGAGTTTACAATGTCATCTTTTATATACAAGGGTCGCACACAGTACTCTTTCAATTAAGGCATATTATTTTCCACCACTGATAAGTTATATGCATGCCCTACTTATGGCCTCCTTATAAGTACCAAATATATTTGTAAAAAAAAATTGTTTTGTTTAAAATTTGAATTAGAGATAGACCTTTTATGTTAAAGCAGAATTAAGCTAATTGGCCCATATATGGAAGTTCAAGCTCATAAATTTATAATATAAAATGTCCCAAATGATTGAAATAATAACATTTAGACAAGTTCATGAACATTAATTGACATTACATAGGACTTTTCTATGACAACCACCTGATATAAACCCTAGTATGCCTTTTCCAAGAGAAAACAGAGTTGATGGCAGGAAGGAAGAGAATATTAAATCTTACCACAGTGATCTTAGGAAAAGTTAGTATCTTGCTGACAGTTTCCCTAAAACAGAAGTAGGCTGCATATAGAAACTTCAAGCAATGTTTTATTGACATATGAAACCTGAAAAGTCTTAAGAAATAGGAGCCTCTATATTAGCCCAGACTATGTTTCTCAAAATAAGTTTTGTTTTCTTACAAGTACTTAAATAATGTTTCAGCTTCCTAAATTGATTTGTACTCAAAACCATCCATATTTTGATTCTCCTGCCTCCCATCCATATCCCCTACACAATTATTTCCATGAATTTTTAACAGGAGGAATATTCCTGTAAAGAAGCCATTGAGTCACACACATCAAAAAAAAAAAAAAAAAAAAAAAAAGAAAAAAAAAAAAAAAAAAAAAAAGGAAATATATCTAATCATTCAGCAATTTACTTTTAGAGTTTTTTTTTAAAAAGTTGACGGATTTTATTTCAGTAAAAACAATGAAAAATAAAAATTCTCTATCAGCTTTGAAAAGAGAGAGAAAAATAGACGGGCCAAAGGACAAAAATGAAAGAGTAGAAAAAAAAAAAGATCATGTGCTTGCTGTGCTAGAGATACAAAATAAACTCATTTAGAATAGGATTGACTAACATTTACAAATGTACATTTACAAACGCACATTTACAAACGTACATTTACAAATGATAAGGTCTCAGAACTGTTCCGTTTTTTTTTTTATTCTTTGTTTTAAACAGGCAAGAAAATTTATGGGCAATCTTAAATGCACAGTTAAGGCTTCACAGGGAACAGACAGGCACTCTACTCACAAAACTCTTGCAATAAACACCACTTGCTCATTCAAGGGCATCATGATTACACTCCAGGTGGCCTCTGAAAGTTTTCTCTGACTCGTTTAAGCCAGATGTAACTGTTCTTCTTCTATACGCTATGACACCTAATAATATCTTCATTACACTAAGGATCACATTGTAATTTTCTTTCTCTGAGTATCTCCCCATCAGCCTGTAAGAAGGTCAGAACTGGGTCTTTTCAACTATAAATCCACAGTCCCTGGTATTGTAGTAATTATAATAATGGGTGCCCTGCCTTCAATTTAGCACTTACATGGTATTTATGTCTCAGAATCCTACAAGGTAAACCCAGTATAGATGAGTTAAGCTCAAAGAGGTCGAGAGTAAAGGGCGGATGTTTGAATAGACTGCTCAATCAGTGACAGGTCGGTCCTACCAGGCAGGTCCACAACTTAGACCCGAAAGACAAACGACACACTGGGGTCGTGTAATAATATGAATTACAGAGATTCAGCAAGGATGAAAATTGGACTGTGTTTTTAAAAAGGTCATCCTCACGAAAGGGAAAAAGAACCCCCATAGAGGAGCGACAGCTCACGAAGCTTCTAAAGTACACGTAAGTCAAGAACAATAGCACGTCCCCGAGGAAGACACCTCAGAGACCTCCAATCCCTTCTCCTCTCAGAACTGGCCTTCCCCAACCCTGCAGCATCCGCCAGGCAGGCGAGGAAGAGGAGGGCGCAACCTGCCGGGATGCGCACCGCCTGGAACCGGAGCCGCCCGCGCGTCCCTCCCCCAGCGCGGCGCCACGGCGACTTGCCCGGGAGGCCCGGGCGTGGGCAGCCGGGTACCTAGCTCGGCCACGGTGGCCGCGCAGCCGGACAGTAGGAACTTGCTCGCTCGGGGCCATCTCTGGGCGAGCGGCAAAAGCCTCTCCTCATCCTCCGGGACGGACATTCAGCAGCAGGACAGGACGACGACGCACCCCTCCGCGCCGGTGCACCGCGCCGCAGCCGGCCGCCACCCTGCCGGGGCGGCCCCTGTTCAACCCGCGAGTGGCCGGGCGGGAACCATTTCCCCGTTCAGCCCGGCCCGGGAAACCCACAGCCTCCCTGGCAGCCTCAGGCTGTAGTGGTCCAGCGACCCCCTGAAACCCGCCCCAGAGCAGGAAAACAAAGCAGAACCCGCGCTGGGGCTTCTGGGAAATGTAGTCCGCCGGGCTCAGCGACGTCTCTGATTGGCTGGCAGCTGGGCGCTCGCGGCGCCTCCGCCAGTCTCCGTGGCAACAGCGCGTGTTCCCTCCCATCGCCCCAGCTAGGCGCAGCCCTGAATTTTTTCCGCCGCGTCCAGGATTTTTAGAAGTGGAGGTGGGAGGGAGCAATGATGCAGAAATCACCAAAAAATTGGGGCGGGGAAAGGGAGCTACAGTGTGGAAGGAGAGCCAGTTACAAAAGTTGCAGCAGAAAGTTTGGGAGGCTGGGCGGGTTCTCTAGACCCAGGAAAGGAGCCAGAGCCAAGGCTGCAGGACTTTTTCGAACTTCTGTGATTCGCGGCGGGGGATGCTGGACAAAAATATGGAACTGATTTCCTCAGCAGTGATTGCAATCCTAGGTTGTGTTGCTCTGTTTTTGTTCCTTCAGTGGAAGAATTTTCGTAGACCTCCGTGCATCCGAGGCTGGATTCCGTGGGTTGGAGCTGGATTGGAGTTTGGAAAAGCCCCTCTAGAATTTATAGAGAATGCAAGAATCAAGGTACGTGGCGGTAGCTGGCGGGGTTTCCAAAGGAGACAATGCGTTTCTTTGTTTGTTTTCTTTCTTTGGATCTCAACCGCATTGTTGGAATAGCGGGGACATGCCCGCTGCTATCCGGACCTAAACCATCTAGTTATTTATTAATTCCTCTGCTAACAATCAACAGCCTTGACGTATGCGAAGTTTTGCCGAAGACATGAAGTAAAACACAGCTTGCACCTGCCTTTTTGGAAGTAGAGACTAACTTTTTTAAGTGCTAGTTACTTAACCGGAGTTAAATTTCAAGTGTGAACATATTAAGTAAATGCTTGCAGTAACTGGGAAAGACAGAAGTGTAATACAACTTAATTTGTGAAAATGAGTAATAAACTCATATCCAAGTCAGAATTAACACCAGGATATTGTACAGATTGCTTGAGAAGTTGGTCTTTATCAATTTAACGGGCACTATATTTTCAGCTAGTTTTGTTATTTGATAATGATGAGCTCCATTTTTATTGCACTCCAAGGAGATTAGTAATCCTTCTTGCAGTAGATGTTTTTGTCCTTAAAGTACCTTTCAAATGTCTGAGCACTTTAGGGAACAAACCTTTGTTAGCCTTTTAATTTTTTTTTTGAGACAGAGTCTCACTTTGTTGCCCAGGCTAGAGTGAGTGCCATGCCATCAGCCTAGCTCACAGCAACCTCAAACTCCTGGGTTCAAGCGATCCTACTGCCTCAGCCTCCCGAGTAGCTGGGACTACAGGCATGCGCCACCATGCCTGGCTAATTTTTTTGGTATATATATTTTTTTAGTTGGTGAATTAAAATTTCTTTCTATTTTTAGTAGAGACAGGGTCTTGCTCAGGCTGGTCTCGAACTCCTGACCTTCAGCAATCCGCTGGCCTCGGCCTCCCAGAGTGCTAGAATTATAGGTGTGAGCCACCATGCCTGGCCAGCCTTTTAATTTTTATTCTATTTCCCACAACCAAGATTTTATGGTATTTGTCTAATAAATCTGTGTGATATTGATCAACCATTATTATATTAATAATACTTTCTGTAGTGACTCATTCTTCACATAGGTTCCTATTTAGTTAGCCCCATTTGTAGAATAATTTTGTACAAAGTAGCATTATCTATACCACTGATCATTTACCTTTAGAATCACTGAGATACCAATTTAGTAAAAAACTTGAGAGAATATTGAAGAGAATGAAGGTGAATATAAAAATAACCCAGAATATCACACCAGAAATAAATACTATAAGAATTTAGTATATTTATATTATTTTGGCCTTTTTTTCTATGCATTTACATATTATTTAGTAAACAGTAGGTTAATATTGTAATGATATTTTATGTGCTTTTGAATTTAACATGTGAATAATGTGAATAATTTCCCCATGTTATTAAATATTTCTCTGAATCTTCTTTTTAATGACTACATATTATCATATGAGAGTATAATAGTTTACTTAAATCTCATGAGTTGTGTATATAGGTTGCTGCCAGCTTTTTTTCTTTATTTCAACCAATGCTTTAATGAACATTCTTGCATGGATGTGTGCTTACACGCATGTATGTATTGTGCAGTTGTACATTTTGCACTTATTTGATTGTTTCCTTAGATTAAGTTACTAGAAGTAGAATTGCCAAATTAAAGGACTTGAACACTTAAATTCTTTATATTAATGTGTTACCCTTGGAAAGGGATGTAACAATATACACTTTTTATTTTACTTCGAATGTATGGAATTACCTAGCTTTTCATATCCCGGGCCACACTGGATGTCTTAATTCTTTATAACTTTTGCTAGTCTGATAGATGAAAAATAGTATTTCCTAAAGAAATACTCCTTTGTCTCCCACACCCTTCCTTAGGCATGTGAAGGGTTATTGTGGTGATGGAAATATTCTGTATCTTAACTGTATCAATGTGAATAGTATGTTTGTGATATTGTACTATAGTTTTGTAGGATGTTAATACTGGGGAAAACAGTAATGGGTATATAGGATGTCTCTGTAATATTTCTTATGATTGCATGCTAATCTACAATAATCTCAAAATAAAAATAATTAATTAAAAAATACACAAGCATCACTTCTACCACATACTGTATGTGGTTGCCTTCATAACACTGAGGCTGCTGACATTGCACAAACAAAAAGAACAAAAGGAAAGTAAATAAACAAAAAAACCCACTGTTAGCAGAATTTATAACACTATGCATGACTATTTTTCACTGTCCAGTTGTATTGCCACATGTCAGCATTTATCTCAACTATTCAATGTGTTTGAATTTGTTGGTCTATGCCTGGGGCCAGGGTTCATATAGATATTGCAAAAGGCCACCTTCCTAATGGAAAATTAAGAATTTTTGTTTGAACAGAACTTTAACAAACAATGAAAATGATTCATCTTCTAAGTGTTGACAACAAACAAGTGTAGAGAGGGAATACTGGGAAGCAGTGTAGGTGTCTGGCTCACTACTGTGAGAAAATGGGACTTTACTTTTGGGGGTTCCATGACTCTTGGGCCTACAGTTACCTGGTAGTATCCAATAGTGTGTGCCCTCTTACAGGGAGAATAGAGATGACTGATAGATACTGAAGTAGGGATGAGCATAAATGATATTTTGAGATGTTTATAATAACTGTAATGAGATATGAAACTGTGATGGTTTGTTTTGGTGACAGAGTCATGGGTAAGATTGTGGTTTGTTGCCTATGTTCACAGTTGGAAAAAAAATGCTAAATTGTAGTTAGAAGTCAACGAAAATGATGACACATTTTACCCCAACAAGGTCATGGACCCCCTGCAATCAAACCCTTTGCTAAACTATGTTTGTAGGTGCTAAGAGTGGTCTGATAGAGAGAGGAACATTAATGATGTAAGAGAGGGAAAGCAAAAGTGTAGAACAAAGAGAGGACAAGATAGCATAGGATGGATTAATATGACACAAGTGAAGGGTTGTGGACATTTCACAGGGGCAGGAACTTCCATCCACGTTAACAAGAGGGAAAGCATGGAGAAGGGTTCAAAGGTGTATGTTGCAAGATTTGGTGGTGAGATGAGGCTGCTCTTACTCGATTGCCTCCATTTTTCCAGTGAGTTACAAGGCAGGGACTCTATTTCAGAGAGGAAAGGGATAGGCAAGGTGTGTTCAGGTAAAACAGTCATTTTGGAAAGAAAGTGACCATATTAGAAAAGCGTATAGGATTGCAAGATTTTCTGTAAAACCAGCTGGCAACGTTGTATCTTTTTCTTGAGCAATATTGAGCTATAAGGTTTACTTATAAGCCAACCAGTATCTTGAAAACAATGTTCAAATATCACAGTATTGATATATTTTCTAATTACTTTTTATAATTATTATTTTCTAATTATTTCATACTATAAGAAAGGAAGGTATAAATAAATAACACGATTAAAAAGAACATTATATATTAGGACAGAACAAATTACGATTTATGTAATTTAGATTTGAGTGGAACAGTCAAAATTTATAATGAATTACCAAATATAATCATTTTTCTCTTGACTATAACCTCAGCATTGGGGTTCTTGAGGAAAACTGTGTTAATGTAACCTATGGCTTAGAAATGCTTACTAATATGATCTGTGTTTATGTGTTTTATTTCAGTATGGACCAATATTTACAGTCTTTGCTATGGGAAACAGGATGACCTTTGTCACTGAAGAAGAGGGAATTAATGTATTTCTAAAATCCAAAAATGTAAATTTCGAACTAGCAGTGGAAAATACCGTCCATCGTACAGGTAAAGGATATCTTAAGATAGCTCATTTGAAATACAACATTAGAATCCAAGAGTAGCTTTATGTAAAAATTATTTACTTGCTCCTCTGTCAAGAATGATGGGGGTCCATTATTTTATTCTTGAGGTAAGGCTAGAAGGGAAAAAGAATATATGATGAGTTTGTCCGGTCATTGAAAAGCAAATTATTGGCAGCCTAATACATTTAGATTTTAGTTACACGTATGAAAGAGATAAGGTTATCTCACTGATGTTTTCTTTAGAAAATATGGAATCTGTATCATGCTGTAGCTCCCAAGATATGGCTAACTCTGTTCTGCTGGTGTGTATACAATGTTCCACAGGCTACAGCTCTTGGCCTGATGACATGTTGTTACTCTGCTCCCTGAAAGTAGAATTCCACTGCTTAGTAAGCCCTTTACTATGGCATTTCCTGGCATATCCCATAAGGCTGGTAAAGGAAGTGGGGGCGGTGGCTTGCCCTTGCACAAATTCTCCAGTCTCAAAGACTGCAAGATTGTATTATTGATTATCAGCATGTTCCCTGTGTGGTTGTCTGTCTTCATTTCTTCCCGGGAGGCGAATGTCCGTGCTCGTGCCATTTGTCCTTGTGAGAATGCAGAACTGGTTCATTTTGTACTTGGTTCTTTTCTTTGCTTTTACAATATTTGCACTTGCTTCTGCTCCCTATGGCTTCTTTTCTATGCTTGCTTTCTTCTTTGGTTCCTTTTCATGTGGGCTCTTGTGCATTTCTTGCTATTAAGACAAAAATGTTTGTTTTAAAAGCTAGTGGTGATCAATAGCATGATTTTTTTTTTCTTCCAAGAAAACCACATGTTGGTTAAATTCTTTGACTGTTTAGTGCTTCTTGGTATTTTGACTATGGTTCCAGAACAAATAATACAAATATTTTGAATGCTTTTGATCTATATAGTCACATATCCTTTCAGAAAAATGTACCAACCTATCAGAGGTATATGGAAATAATCAATTTATTTCATCTCTACCCCCCCGCCCCATAGGGACTTTTGTGTTTAAATATTTCTATTTAACAGATGAAATATGTTAATATTTACTCTTGAGCCACCTGCCAATTCTTCCCATCTATTCCCCCATCATACAGAAGGTGTATGCTCAGGAAATGTAAAAATAACTTTTAATTCAAATGTAACCTATACATAATAGGTTTATGAAATACGAAATACAAAATTAGTTTTTGAAAAAAGTTACTTCAAAGACAATAAAACAAGATGAAAGAAAAAGATAAAGAAATAAGCTAAAAACAAACAAAAATACCTCACTCATAATCTCACCACTCCAACCTAACCAGGAATCTATATCATGGTGATATACTAATATAAAGGAAATGGTGGGGTCAAAACTGTTTGGGAGTTAGGAAAGGCCTCCTGGTAAAAGTGATATTCAAGAAGACACTTAGAAGACATTTAAGGGTGAATAGAAATTAGTGCCTTATGGGTGTGGGAGCAGGGGTGGGGGTAGAGATGGGCTGATAAAGTAGAGAATGTTCTCAATAGACAGAACAGCTTTGAAAATGCAGGGATATGTAAAATACTATGTGTTTTCAATGTACCTGGATTTAGAGGGGGAAGGGCTGGAAATGCCAGCCCTCTTAATTAACCATTATAGATCATCCCTTAAAGTGAATTACCCCTTAGACTTTTACTATCTTACCATGTACTTTGAATCTTTATCTACTTTTATTCACAGGAGGTGATTTTATGTGCTTGGAAGACTTTGGCTATAGTCCCTAGTGACCAAATAGTAGTAGAGGTATATTGACTGCATGCTTCAAGGAGTTGTTGCTTATTTTGAAAATAATTTTCTCTGTTTGTAGCATCAATTCCAAAGAATATCTTTTTAACACTGCATGAAAAACTCAATGTTATAATGAAAGGGAAAATGGGAACTGTCAATCTCTATCAATTCCCTGGGCAAATGACTGAAGAATTACATGAACAGCTGGAGAATTTAGGCACTCATGGGACAATGGACCTGAACAACTTAGTAAGGTAATTAGATAAATGGTTGCATTAGTATGATTTAATCTTGCCCTTTTGGAATAAAGAGATTTTAAACCTTTATATTAGACTTTAAAAATTATCTTGTGGAGTAATGAAATCTGCCTAACTAGGCTAGAAAACGATTATTTTGATTTTTTAAATTCTAATTAGTGGGTAATCTTCAGTTTAGTATTTCTATTTTATGATGAGCAAATAAGCCAGTACAATCATTGAAATATATTTACAGTAATTTCTCTTTAGTCATTCCATACAATTGTGTATACTCTACATGAATTTACCTCTTTACAGTTGTCATGCATCTATCAAAATCTTGATAAAACATTCAGTGTAATCTGTGATTGTTAGAACAAGAGGACATTGACAGGATGGGGAGAGAATGTAGATGACAAGGGTCCAGAAGATACTTGTGAAATTTAAAAAGAGGCAAAGGCAGTGTCATTATGGGCTTCAGAACTGAACCCCAGGGTCCTCCAAAGAGACAGGGAATATGGGAAAGAGCAGAGAGAATCAGCCACGTTCTGAAACTTCTGGAAAAGTTAAGGGCTGGGCAAGGGAGCTGAGAGAAAAAATTTCCACATGCGTAAGGAGATTTGGTAAATTAAAATTACCCAAGGCATTCTTCCATCTCAGTGGAATCCTGTTCAGTAGTTCTGGCTCATAAAACAGAATAACATTTAGCATTTTATTAGCGGTCCAGCAACTGGGGGAGGTGGAGGATGGGGAGAAGAAACAACCAAATTTAAAAATTTGCTAAAGCATGCCAGTATCCACAACAAAACAAAGCAATCTCTTGGATATTTTTGAAACTTGAGGGAAGGAGATTCTGAAGGGATAGTAGACAAAAATTAAATAAACAATATTTAGTGTTGCTAATCTAGGGAATGTTAATAATCTTTGATATTTTTTTCTTATAGATACTACAGTAATCATTTTATTCACTTACAGTAAAACTTATTGGTGATAAGTGCTATATTTCAATATGCAATAGCTTGAATTTGTGGCATCCTGTGAGAAATTAGGAAATTTGGGAACTAACATTATCCTTGATTCTTTGGTTATATTTTTGTGCTGCTATCTAAAGGCGTGGACTGTATCTTACCTATTGTCATTATTTGCTAATTAAATTCTTGTTGAATTATATTGATTCAATTTATTTCTGTTTATTATATTTGTCAGGGTCTAATATGCTCACTTAGAAAGCATTTAAAAATCTTCAGATAAATAAGACCATAATTTCAGTTCTTTTTGAATTATCTAGACCACAGTAAGCAAATATTAAAACTTAACACTGACTTTTTCCCAAGAGAATCTGTCACTTATTATCTACCCCTGATATATTAATAGCACTATTAAATAATGCCCTCTTTTGTATCTTGTGCCTTTCTCCTTTGGTCTTTGGGTCTGACTTTCCATGTGTTTCTGTCTTTGTAGGCATCTCCTTTATCCAGTCACAGTGAATGTGCTATTTAATAAAGGTTTGTTTCCTACAAACGAGAGGAAAATCAAAGAGTTCTATCAGCATTTTCAAACTTATGATGAAGGTTTTGAGTATGGGTCCCAGATGCCAGAATACCTCCTAAGGTAGAGAGTCATATAATTAATTCATTGACCAAGTTCCTCATAGAAATTCATATATCCTGTCATTTCTATGCTCTAAGTAGATATAATAGCAGTTGAAGTAGGAGAGAAGCTATTTCTTATGATCTATTTTTTGGGGCGAGTGGGTGTCTGTGTATGAATTGAACTAAAGAAGAGAGATACACTTCTTTTTTTTTCTTATTTTGATGAGCAAAAACAGAGAGAGAGAGAGATGGGATTAAGAATTTATTGTGTGGCCTTTTATCCCATTTACAGCTTATTATTATCAAATTCATGACGACATGCTACAGTTTGGATCCCTGCTAAATCATCCAGTGTGAGCAGTCTCAGAATCAGACATTATCATCCTCATTCTCTCTGAGGCAGAAGTGGGTGTGATCAACTGTATTTCTCACAGTTGGCTCAGACAAATGTTTGCAAAGTGGTTCACGTGCAACATAACTGCATGATTTTTAAATTTCTTGGCAGCGGCTCTATGTTTTACTCCATTTGGGCTGCTATAGGGAAATATCATAGACCGTGTGACTTTTAAGCAACAGAAAATTATTCCTCCCAGTGCTGGAGGCTGGAAGGTCTGAGATCAGGGTGCCACTATAGTCAGGTTCTTGAGGGTCATCTTCAAGGTTGGAGGCTCCCAACTTATCACTATGTTCTCACATGGGAGAAGGGGCAGACACGCTTCCTTGGCCTCTTTTAAAAGGCACTAATGCTATTCATGAGGGCCCCACCCTCTTGACCTAATGACCTCCCAAAGGCCCCACTTCCTTGTACCATCACATTGGAGGTTAGGATTTTAACATATGGATTTTGGGGGTGGGGGGGACACAAATATTCAGATCATAGCAGTCTACAGTGGTGACTGGTGAGGAAAGATTATAAAAAGATTATAGCCAGTTTGGTTTACCTGGCTTTAAACCCAGCATTTGGTCCCCATGCTGGGTTTTCATCTTCCCTCAATTTCCAACAGCCACAGTAAAAACAGACCTGGCAAGTCGGGGGCCTGCTGTCTTATTCAGTGTCAATCCAATAGGAATCCGAACATTTATTTACAGAAGACACTAAAAGGTGTTTACCTCTCCCCCTCAATTGTCCTTGTGTACTAATGATTCTGAAGGTAGACCATTCATGAAATTCTACCTGAAAATGAAGAAGAAATTTGGAGAAGTAATTTTTTCTAATCCCACAGACATTCCCTGCTTTTATGCTGTAACCTGTTATTCCTAAAGTGCTTTCAAATCAATTTTTTTTTTTTTCTTTTTTTAAGGGGAGTTAATACAGTTGTACCAAATCAATTTTTACATATTTTTTTTCTCATGTAGAAACTGGTCAAAGTCTAAAAAATGGTTCCTAGCCCTGTTTGAAAAAAATATTCCAGATATAAAAACATACAAATCTGCAAAAGGTAATTCCATGGTAAGTACTTTTTACCTTTTGCTGCTAAAATATATGAGATGAAGATAGCAATAAGCTATTATTGTTAAAATATATTTTTGCTAAAAAACATAAGATTGATTAGATCTCATTTTTGTGCCAAGCACTGTACCAGACATGTTTAGATACATAATTTTATTATTACAGCCTCACAACACTGAAGTATTAATCCTATTCTACATAAGAAAAAGACTGAGACTAAATCAACACCAAAATAAAACACAATTCTGATGTTCTTTACTGATTTATATATTATCATCAATAATGTTAGCAGTGACAAATGGGAGTAATGGAAAATTAGGGAAGGAAAATAAAGTTCTACAAAGTAGACTTTATTCTTGATGCCACTCCCACTAGTTGTTTGTCTCTTCAAATGCAAGGAGGTAGAATGGTATAATTTTAAAAGCAAGGCACTAGGTAGGAGTCAGTGCCCTGCGTGTTATTCGAGATCTGTGGTGGTTCAAGTGTTGTCCTTAGACCATCAGCGCTAACAGCACCTGGGAACCACTCAATTGGATGACTCTGGGGTGGAGCCCAGCAATCTGTGGTCCAGCCATCCTTCCAGGTGGTTCTGATGCTGACTCGTGAATGGGTCTCAGCTCTGGCTGCACATTAGAATCACCTCTGGGTGCTTTGAAAACTATCTGATGCCTGAATCCACCCTCCGAGACTGGGTTTCATATGGTCTGGACTGCCTGGGCCCAAAGCCAGTCACCAGCTGTGTGACCTTGGGCACAATACCTAACCTCTTGGCCTCAGTTTCCTCACCTATCTCATAAAGTTCTGGGATTATAAAGTACTTAGAACATAGTAAGGATTAGACAAGAGTTTATCATTGTTGTTATTATTTTTAATCTTTCAGTATTTAAAGATGACATCAAAAGTTTTTGTTTGTTTGTTTTTAGCTGTACAGCAAGTGTTATAAACAACTCTGCTTGAAACTAGAAAGGAAGATGACCTTAGAACAAAGGAATATGTGAATGTTTAGGTATCTCACCCCTGAATAATGGGAACAGAAAGCTATCCTGGGAATGCCCTTCGTTGACAGACTATGTTTCATCTAAAATTTCTGTTTTAAAAACAACCCAGACAAACACACCTTTTTGTTTGCATTATTTTACAGAATTTAGGGGCATAAGCATATGTGTATAAAATGTATACCCAGACAGATATGTAAACTATGGGCCTAGTAAACAAGGTTTCTAAATCCCCAGCTAAAATTCCCTACTGATAATACCTCTAGAATAACATTTATTTTTCTTACTTTGAAGAAATGAGGAATTTTAAATCATAGGTACTCTAACTCCCTATTTGAGTAAAGACAGAATTTGAACTTTGCTGAAGCCAATGCAATGTTTAAGACTTTGAGAGAGAATTCAGCTTGAACATTGATGAGCAGTTTAATTTCAGTTTTTAGCGTATCACTTCTCTGTTTTCCTCTAGCAGTGTTTACACTGAGCTTATGTTTTTATACTCCATTTTTTTAAAAAAATGCGGGTTAAAAAGATTTTGTTGTCTTCTGCCTAAGTAGATTTCAATGGCCCAATGAAGCAGAAGGCTGAGTAAAAGTTGTCTCATTTTTTAAATATATATACACATTTTATCACATCATAAATGTAAAATGTGATTTCTTTCAAGTTATAGATATATATTAAACTAATATTTTCATTTAAATTTATGACTGCATCACAGCATAGCATATCAAAATAATGAAATACATCTATAGGATTTTCATGAGATATAAACTTTGTCCTATAACAACATGTGTTGTAAGTACGATAGAAACCAGCGGTAAAGGAAATTCATATCTAAACTATTTTCAATTCTGCTGATTCATTATTACATAAGCAATAACAATAGGGCACCAGCTAACATTTATGGGGTGTTTACCTTGTGCCGGGCATATTTTACATGTTTCACAAAGTAATTTTGTAATTTATTTTTCACAATAATTTTAATACCATAAAACCTGGGGATTATTAAACCCAGAAAGCTGAGTATTATAGTAGTCAATCTCTCTTGAAAAGTTGCATGCCTTAGTAAGCAACAGCAAGTGTCTCTATTTTATCATGTATTTTATATGCTAGTGTTTTAAAAGTTATGTTCTGAGTCATAGGATCTAAAGCAAAAACTACTGTATGTTATGATACAGTGCAGTTCTCTTAATTCCTAATAGGTCAGAACTAAGGTTTGTGTCTCCAGTGGGGCAGTATAACAGAGTGGATAAGAGTGTAGGCTCTGGAGCCAGGGCAAGGCTCATGGGATTGGATCTCATCTCACCATCTTCAAGTTGTATGTTCCCGGCAAAATTCCCTGATTCTTTGTGCTTCAGTTTTCTCCAATGTAGTGATGAAGGTAATAGTATCTGCTTCTTGGAGTTGCAATGAGGATTGAAATGACTTAAATACTTGTCAATCAACTTTCCCTTAGCAAGCAGTGACTAGATACAAGCTCCCATTATTTTTATCACCTAGACCTGAGTCGTTTAAGATTCAAAGTACACGAGTAACTTAATGAAAATGTGACAGTGTCTGAATTTCTTCTCCATGATAGGGAGGGAACCATTGGCAAAGGCAAATCTGGGGAAATCTCCCCATGAAGGAAATGTCTTTATGGAATTTGTATGGTGACCTGGGAGTAATCATAGTAGGTGGCCCTGGGACGGGCCCTGCTCTGAGCTGCCACATTCAAGTCAAATGTCAATGCTCTGCATGGTTTTAGAGTATTGCGGTATTTATAATATATTGCAGTTCTCTCTCTCATGGTGTATAGGCTGAGAATCTGCATGATGGGTGGGTGTAGGGTTTTTTCTGAATGCTCCAGGGATCTGTGTTTTTGTGTTGCTTGCATTTTCCTAAGAGCAGAGGCTTATTAAAAAGAGGATGGGGGTGGGGATAGGGGGAGAAAGAAAGAAAGAAATGAAAACACTCAATTTACCAATACACTTAGGCAAGGCAGAGGTCCAAAGTGAATTCTGCCCTCTGAAAGGTTTTGTTTTAAGCACTTCATGGGTAGTAATTTTCTTCTCACAACGATTCTGTGATGTAGGCACCATATTATGACCATTTTAAAGATGAGGGAACTGAGGCACAGAGAGATTAAAGTAACTTGTTCAAGTTCTTCCAGCTCTTAAATATCTGAGCCAGGATTTGAAACAAGGCAGTAAGGCAGTTGAGCTCCAGAATCCGCACTCTTATTTACCGTGCTGCTTGTAAGTATGGGAATCCCTTAGCATGCCTCAATTGCAAAGCCCATGAATGACAAGAATAATGTATTTTGTCTTAAAGGAAAATGCATGATCTTTTGTTTATTAACATTCATCTTTGTCACATAGTTACGGTTTGACAATATTTCTTTTAAACAGACATTATTTCAGGCTGTGATGGATATTATAGAGAAGATAACAAATGAACAAAACTGTCCCAATTATGGGCTCTTAATGCTTTGGGCTTCTCTGTCTAATGCTGTTCCTGTAAGTATATTGGTAAAATGCAGCTTACATTGCTGTCTACTGTCCTTTGATTTTTTTTTCCTTCATTTTTCTTTTTCTTTTTTTCTTTTTTTCTTTTTTTTTTTCTTTTTGGTAATCTTTTCACTTATTCTGGGGAAGAAAAAAACTATAGTGGATTCAGCTGTGAGATAAAAATCAAAACTGAAATGCCTAATGAAATCCGGATAGGTTATTACACAAAGGAGGCAAAGCAGAGATCCAGAGTGAATTCTGTGTCACGGCATGAAGGAAAACTTGCGTTTTGAAAGGGGCCAGTTGTGACAACACCTTTTCATGGAGCAGTTTCTATGTGTCAGGCAACGTGCTTAGTATTGGTGCTGAAAAAAAAAAAAAAGAAAAAGGATTGGTCTCAACCTTTTATTTGAGAGAGAATAGGTAAGTTCCAGGGTAGAATAGGGGTAGGGTAGTTCCAGGTGGAACTGGGCTTGAATCCAGACATCCCCAGCCATAGCTGTGGAATCTCCTGGAGGTATCTTAAAATCTCTCTGCCTCCATTTCCCTAATTGGTACAAAAGGGATAATGTACACAGAACTCCTAGTATGGTCCTAGGACTTGGGTACTCAATAAGCAGTAACTCTCATTTCTTCCCAAAGTAAATGAGGTAAGACCAGCTGCTACCAATCAACGTTAGCTCTTTCTCTCCCTCTCCGCCTGTTTTTCTGTGCACCATTCCCATTTGCATTACTTGACTTTTTGGTCCTGTTAAGCTTCCCCCATGAATGGTGCTGGTGAAATTGAACTCTTATACTGCTATAGAGAGCAGAGACTTTTTTTTGACTGTTTCTTTTTTTAAAAAGCTGTCATGAACTAGATTAGAGCCATAATATTTGTCTGCCACTTCATATTCAATGCATACCAGTTTCTGGGTCAGGAGGCTCTCACATTAGCCTAAGCTGCTACTTATATTATCTGAAATTAAAGGGTAACCTTTGTGTGTGTGTGTGTGTATATATATATATATATATATTTACTTTTTACTAAACAGGGTGCTTAACCCATCTCAAAGGATAAGTGCGGTCATTTTTCTTCCTCTGTCTTTTAACAAATAGAAATAAGGCAGAAGTTTTAAGTATTATTTATTTATCCTTCCTCTTAGGCCTGGGTTGTTAAAGGCTTTATAATTACTGATATTCTATTTTCCCTTCACTTGTAAAACTTAGTAGGTAAAGAGCAGAGATAGAAATTCTGGCCTCTCTGCTCAAATGTATCACAGCCAGTAGAATATATATTTCATCTGGCATGGTCAAGTAAAAATAGTCTAATCCTATTCCTTTACTTGTGTCCCACTCATGTTATTATCTGACTTTTCTTTAAGTAATTTTCTTGGAAACGTTAAGCCATAGCAAAACTGAAAAGTAAACATCAAAACAAATCCCAAAGCAGGAACAAAACAGCCATTCCTGTCAGAGGATTAATTTTCAAGATCGCATTAGAAACATCCCCCGGAAGAAAGCCACACAAAGCCCCATTGATCTGACACAGGGGAAGTCAGTTCTTTGGAATTTGTTCCTGGCACTGGTCTGAAAGGATTTAAATCATTCATTTCAGAAAGGAAGTGTCTGATGATTAGAGAAAGTTCCATCTCACTGGCTTTTGTTGGTACCTCCAAGAGGCAGCCTGGTGTGCAGGCAGAGACCCTGGAAAGGTTTGAGTAAGGTCCAAAGCCAGTTCCCAGCACTGGGGGACAGTGGGTCAATTGTTTACCTCTCCAAGCCTCAGTGTCCTCATCTGTAAAATGGGATTAGTGCATCCTACCTCAAAGGTTAGCTGTTCGGATTATTTTGGTAAGAAATGGAAAGTGGCTAACAGTACCTGGCTCAACATAGGTGCTCAGTAAATGTTAGTTTTCTTCCCTAACAAAAATCGTCTCCCTAGTTTCAGTCAATCATTACTTTCAATGACCCATTAGTAATGAATGTAGACTATCCTGGCTTCCAAATGCTCAAATGCTTGACTGCTCAGAGGCCCCTGGATGAGAGTGTCCACTGCTGTTGTGGGTTTTATAACCTCCATCACTACTGAGAGAGCTGCTAAAGCCCTGCAGGGGTATAGGTGGCAGGTGGTGGGGCCTGTCCTTTCTTAGAGCCCAGATCACATCCTTATCTCCTCTCTCCTAATTTTGTAGTCTGCCTCAAGGCCTGTGAGACTCATAGCGCAGGCATCAGATGGGCTTGGTACCAGGTCATTGGAGGCTCCATGATGGTCTAGGTAAACTTTGGTAGACTGGCCCAAAATATTAACCATAATTTATGAACTTATTTCTAGGGGAAAACCATTTCCAAGTTCTAAGAAATTTCTGACTGCCAAATGACCCCTTTAGAACATTTCTCCAAACCCATCTCAAAACTGACATTTTGCCTTTTTTACCTGCTTTTTCTCTGAAGTTTCTTTCTACATACTTTCGGGTGAGAGCACCACCCCGTCCAACTCTCAACTCCTGCAGCACTTGTTGTCTGTAACATGTGTTGGCGTTTTCACTTTCTTGTACAGTTAGCTATTTTATTCTTCCTCTGTGTATTCATATCCCCACCTTAATGTGAAAATTCTTTGGGCAGGAACTGTCATATTTGTGTGGACCATGATTGGTGGAAGACTATCTGTCATGTTACGGAGACTCCTTCAATATTTGCCAAATCTGTTTTTGATTGAATGAATGAATGATGTCGGAGAACATGCTCAATTCATCTTCTCTTTGACACATCATACGCAGAGCTTTCCCAAGAATCCTTATCCCTTCTCACCTTTGTTTTTACCCCCCAAAACAATGGAAAGACATTGTGGTAGCTGCTTCTGCAGTTCAATGAGCCTGGTGGCTCTTCTTTATTTTGCCCAGCTGTGACCATGGACTTGACCTCTTTGGCCAAATACTAATTGGTATTGCTGGGAGCAGTGTTTAACTCCTTTCCCAAATGTGGTTGCATAAAGACCTCAAGGCCATTGGTTCTTGTTTATTGACACAGTAATAAATATAAACTTTTTATTAACTATTCTCTTTTACATACCTTTACTGATTTTTAAAAGTGCCTTAGTTTTTAAAGGTAGCAAATAACAGATTTTTAAAAAGAGAAAGCTGTTAAGGAAAAAAGAAGCATTAAAAATGGTAACAACAGTATGTACAACTATTTGTAGCTTAGCTGAATTCCTTGTATTTGTCATAAAAATAAGTATTATCCAATTTTAATGAATCTCTAAAACTATTAATATATTTAGGCACATAAAACTCTGAACCCTCTTTTGTGTAACTAAACTATCTATGCACTATCACTAAAATTTTTTTCTGCCAACATGAACTCTGACTCTTTAACTAAGATGCATTGAATATGGAGTGATTATTTAATTAAATCCAGTAATACAGCACTTCCATCTATAGATAATAGCAGAAAGGGGGCCTGAGAGGGGAGACAGGATAAGAGAGCTCTCTGAGCATCTGTTTCTTCATCTGTAAAAATGAACTGGATACTCTCTAGGGCAAATCTTTCCTAATCTAGATAATGCCTCAGAAAAAGGGTCTCTGGATTTTAGGTGTCTTGGTTCTCCTGTTCACCTTGTTTGTATAAACAGTACCATATTTGTCCTTGCAATGTCAATTTAATGTCACAAAAAGGAAAACAATGAACAGTGTTGAACTTGTCTGATTTGAGCACTTTCAGACAATTGCTCTTCTTCTTTTGACCACAGAGGGGAGTACTGGGATTATTTAAAAGTATGTAATGTCACCTCATAAAAGAAACAAAAAGACTTAAATTACACAAAGTATTGCCGGAGTCATTTCAGGACTGATTTTCCTAGATGAAACTGATTTTGCAATAAATGTTTATAGAAAAAAACGAAAGGGAAATCCAAGCCTCTTTCAATGTTTTTATACAGGTTTCCTTTATTATATAACCTAACAATAGAAGCAAAAACATCTGAGTAGAAAGTTAATTTTTAAGATGTGTAGCAGTATAATTCTATCTTGTAATACCATAATCAGGAGAGCTATGAAATAATTTTGTTTGGCCAATAGAGAAAGTATGCAAGTATACTATGTTCAACTAAGATTCCATTGTGAAATGACCTTATTTTTCAAGTTGAATACTCTCATAATTTAGCTTATGGGGTTTTTAGGTATGGTTTCCTGGGTCTATTTAAAATAGCCATGTTTCATTTGCAGAATGTAAAATTTGCTAATCCTTTTATATTGTAAGGAAATTAAATCTTTAAAATGTTTTTTATTTTAGATTAATAATCTCGTGTCATAATTTGTTGCTTTTAAATATTTAAGGTATGCCCATATAATATTGCATGCTGCTTTTAGTAGCATAAACATTTACTTTTCTCATTTTTTAGTGAAGACTAGAGTTTGATCTTTTTAAATAATATAGTTAAGCTTTAGTGACCCAATAAGATTATAAATCTGACCTCTTACAAACACATAACATCTCTTCTGTTCATAAAATCTGCTTATTTTCAAAGATTCTCTTTACTAATGTGCTCTTAATGTTAATTTAAACATTGTCATCGTTTCTTTTCTATAGTTAATACTAAATATGCTTCTGTTTACCTTTAAAGAATTTTATATTTTTGATATGTGTTTTTCTTTTTAAGGTTGCATTTTGGACACTTGCATTTATCCTTTCTCATTCCAACATCCACAAGGCCATTATGGAAGACATATCGTCTGTGTTTGGCACAGCAGGTACTGAACCTGAGTTAAGTTACTTAAAAAGACACATCTAATAATGCATGTTTGTCACACATTGGCAAAGTGAAATATATATGATTTTATAGAAATTCAACATAATTCAAAGTTCAACATAATTTGCTGTATATTTCAGGACATAAATTGATCAGGTAGAATCCTAGAATTTAATTACTGTCTAGCATTTTAGATATCATCTAGTACAACTCTCTTATTTTCCAAATGATGAAATAAGTGCTGTATCTATAGAGATTGTGATTTGCCTAACTTTTGTACTTAAATATATATGCATGGGTTTTCATCTAATCTCTCAGGTCCTCACCTCAATTGAGCTGCAAGTCTACAGTTTCGGAATTCTGGATTTTCCAGATTTTATCAAAGTAATATAGTGTATCTTCCATATGTTGCATAACAGCCCTAATAAGAAGAGTGTGGAGATCAGGTTAGTTTTGCCACCAAAGGATTATTAAAAAACAAACAAACAAAAAAGAAAACCATTACAGTTGTTAGAGATTTGGGAGCTTAGAAACTACAGATAGGGATTGTTGTCTTGAACTTTTTAGTGCAGTTGTGGGCTCTTCATTCATCATGTTTTAAAACACAGCAATAAGCTCAAATGGAGATGTCTCAACTACATGTTTACTAAACATAAATTGACCTGTTTGGGAAATAGATTTTTTTAGAAAACCTTAATGGGTCAAATTATATATTCTGATATAAAAACAATAAGAAATGATTTAATTTTCTTAGAAGAAAACAATATCATACTAGGGCAAAAGGTATGGTGCCAAATAACTGTCATCCCTCCGCTCCTCCATGATTGCAGAAAATATTTTATTTGGAGTTTTTTCTTTACTTTGGATTGTTGCTTTTTGAGTAAGACCAAAAAGGAAACTAGCTTTACCAACACAAATATCTAAGCTATACTGTCTGGGCCTTGGGTGTGAATCAGCAGATGCTGGGCCACAGAAATGGTGAGTGCTAGGATCATTGAGTGCCAACAGTGCTAACAGGTTAGATTCTGGAAATAACACTGGTGCATGTTAAGAGAAGACCACTCTCTTGCATGGAGCTTGCATATGCAGGGAAAATGGAAATGGACATGCCCATGTGTCTATAAATGGGAAAAGGGAGTGGATCCTTGATTGTCATGTATTCTCCTTTACTATTTTTCCTTCCTAGAGTCTTTTCCTCTTTTAGAGTTCTCCAAATTCAGGGTCTTTAGGAAATAAAAGGGTGGAGATGGGGATGGTAGGGATAATTTGGGGAATCCTCTCTGACCAAAAGGGCACAATGGAAGCGTAGCATTAATCTAAATTTCTACAATGCTTGAATCTGGAACTCTTGAACACAGTGCTGGTGGAGAAAGACAAAACTTTTTCTCTTTTTCTATATTTTTGTTTCTTTTCAGAACCTATTGTTCTCTTCTGACAGAATAATGCTCCTTCAAATAGTAGTACCAATGTATCAGCTATACTATATCGATGTTTTCAGCCAATAAGACACTATTGCAGAATTAAAAACTGTTTATAAAAAACACCAAACATTTTTTAACCAGGTTTATACAGAAGCTATTTAGATCAATAGTCCATGCATAAGATGTAGTAGCAGCTCAGGAATTTAGATGTTGTGAGAGGAGACTACAGATCTTTGGAGATTAATATCGAGATATCCATGTGTCCATACAACGGGTCCTGTCAAGGAAAGAACATTAAAGTACATCATATTAGTCAGGGTTCTCCAGAGAAATAGAACCAGTAGGATGCAAATAAGGAGACAGAGAGAGAGAGAGATCTAGAAAGAGACTAATTATAAGGAACTGGTTGGCATGATTATGGAGGCTGAGAAGTCCCATGATCTGCTGTCTGTGCGGGCCCTGTATGGATTGGATGATGCCCTTACCCTGGGGAAGGCAATCTACTTTACTGAATAGATTCAAATGCTAATCTCTTATTCAGAAATACACTTACAGAGACACTCAGGATAACACTTAGTCTGAGCACCCTATAGCTAGTCAAGCTGACACAAAATGAACCATCACAGTAGGCAGCATCCAGTCCATTGAGCTTTGCTTCTCTGAAGAGCTCTGAGTAAACATTTCCATTCACCTTGTGGAGGGCAGCCTGCTTTACTCCAGCTACTGATTCAAATGCTAATCTTAACTGGAAATACCCTTACAGATATACCCAGAGACAATGCTTAGCCAAATATCTGGGCACGCCCTGATCCAGTTAAATTAAACGTAAAATTAGTCATCACATGCATGGAACAATAATCTGACTTAATGCCACAGTTTTCCCATTCTGTGCTCTTGCCTGTTGCAAGGTCACCATTTTCTTCTTGGGGTTGTCCTTTGGGAAAGTGCAATGCTGTATCTCTCTAGTCTCAACACTCTCTCCTAGATTTCATCTCGAGCACTTTGCCCAACTTTCTTATGTTAATAAAACAAGTCTCAGGGTAAAAACTACTGTTGAATACTTGAGAAAGAAAAAAGGTACGACTCATACCACTTTTCTGAAGGCAGTTAGTTCTTTAACTACTTTCATAGCTGCCCCTCAGCCTGCTCCTGTCTTGTCCATTTGTTTACTTTGAAATTGGAACTTCTTTAGGGCTCCCTTGTAAAGATTCTTACTTAGCATTATTTTGGGTGGTTGTTTTCACTATTCTACTTCCTCTAACTGATTCTGTATGCCTTCCATCTTCTAATATTTTCTCAGTTTTTGTTATCTGCTTCTTCCCGTTCCTATTTTCTAACCCTACTATGTTTTTATTTGTTAAAATTGCCCTTTTTGTTTTAATGGGACATTAAGATGGAGGGAGGGTAGAAGTTTGTTCTTAGCTTACCATCTTAAACCATAAGTTTGTATGCATGTAACATGCATCCTTTTTTTTTTTTTTTGCATTTATCTGTAATTCACATATCATAAAATTCACCCCTTTAAATTATAAAATTTAGTAGGTTTTAGTGTATTCATGAGATTGTGCAACCATCAACACTACTAGTTTGGGAACATTTTCATCACTCCTAAAAGAAACTGCATTCCCCTTAGGAGTCACTTTCAATTTTCTTGTACTCTCAGCCCGTGGCAACCACTAATCTACTTACTGTCTTTGCATATTTGCCTTTGCTAGACAATTCACATAAATGGAATCGAATATACGGTCTTTTTGTTTCTCTCTTCTTTCACTTACCATAATGTTTTATTTTATATTACAGTGCTTTACATTAATTGGTTTTCAGGTGTTGGACCATCCTTGCATTCCTGGCCTGTATCTTTCCTAATCATGGTATATAATCCTCTTTGTTCATTGCTGGATTCAATTTGCTAGTATTTTGTTGAGGAATTTTGCACCTATATTAATAAGGAATATTGGCCTGTAGTGATGTCTTTGTCTGGTTTTGGTATCAAGATAATTCTGGTTTTAAAGAGTAAATTTGGAAGTACTCCCTCCTGTATTTTTGGAAGAGTTCATGAAGGATTGATGTTATTTCTTCTTTAAATATATAGTAGAATTCACCAGTGAAGTGATCTGGTCCAGAGATTTTCTTTTTGAGAAGTTTTTTGATTCATTCATTCTTTCTGTTTGTTAACAGGTCTATTCAGATTGTCTGTTTCTTCTTGAGTCAGTTTTGTAATTTGTATCTTTTTAGGAATTTGTGTATTTCATCTAGGTTATCTAATTTGTTAGCATACAATTCTTAGTATTTCCCATAATTCTTTTTATTTCTGTAAGGTTGCTAGAAAGGCATATCTTTCGTTCCTGATTTTACTGATTTGAGTCCTTTTTCATTTTTCTTTGTGATTGTAGCTAAATATTTATGAATTTTGTTTTCAAAGAACTACCTTTTAGGTTCTATTGATTTTGCTTGATTTTATTTTTTCCACTGATTTTCTATTCTCTAATTTATTTCTGCTCTAATCTTTATTTACAATCTGTCTCTTTATTGATATTCTCTATTTAGCTATTTAGATATACTTCCTTTAGTTCTTTGAATATATTGAAAATATCTGATTTAAAGTCTTTGTTTAGTAAGTCCAACATCTGGGTTTCTTCAGGGATAATTTCCATTGATTCCTTTTTTCCCTGTGAATGGTCTAAACAGATGGACCCTGCCTTAACAATGGTTTGACTTACGATTTGTTAACTTTATCATAGTGTGAAAGTGATATGCATTCAATACTGTGGTTTCTTATTTCATGTTTCTTATAGCATGTTTTTTAATTTTTTTGTTGAAAACTGGACATTTTAAAAAGTATAATGTAGGAACTCTGGAAATTAGATTCTTTCCCCTCTTCAGGGTTTGTTGTTGCTGCTACTTGTTGTTCTTGTTGTTTGAATGTTTAATAACTTTCCTTAACCAATTCTGCAATGTTTATATTCTTTATCATGGAGGGCCACAAAAGTCTGTGCTTGGTTAGTATAGTGGTCAGCTAGTAAATGGACAGATATTCCTTTACACCAGAATCTTTGTCTCCCATTCTTTTCCAGGGGGCTCTGTGTGCATGTCTGAACACACGTTCAACACTCAGCCAGCAGTTGACAATTCTGCCTTAGCTTTCACTTCCTGCTTCCTCAGGAAGTTTGGCTATAGGTGAGAGCTTAGGGCCTTCTCATATCTTTCCTGAGCGTGAGTACAGCCTGGGCCAATGCATGGCCTTCTACATTCCCAAGAATGTGCTGGATGTTTCTAAAGCCACTATGAACATATCATTTTCTAACCTTTTATTTTAATTTTTCTGATTTGCCTGTTGTTTGCCCAGCAGTTACCTACTGCCTCAGGTAGCTGCAAAGTTAAACAGTTGTAGTTAAAGATTTTCAACCAACACCCCTGAGGAAAAGGCTTTTCACACTGGATGAGCTTCAAGGCAGGTCACATAAAGACAGTCTTGGAGTAGGGTCTTCCAGGGAACTGTCAAGCTTGTCAACTAATAAGAATTCTCTAGGAATGAGGTTTTGAAAAAGTTCCAATCCTGTTCTGCTCTGTCTACTGACCA